TATTACAATAATTAACATTTCAACATTTAAAATATTTAAAATATTAAATGATGTTCTTTATCGAAATATTCGATTTACATTAGACCATCATTTTTCATGTTTTTTTTAGGAACTGAAACATGTCGTGAAACATGAAAAATGATGGTCTAATATAAATCGAATATTTCGATAAAGAACATCATTTAATATTTTAAATATTTTAAATGTTGAAATGTTAATTATTGTAATATTTTAATATTTAATAAGAATTATTGTGATTAGACGGACAAGATTTAATATATACTTAATATATAATAAAAAATATAAATGTTTAGTATGACCATGTTCCCTTAAAGAACCTTAATTTTTCTGTGGGCTTACTTTAAACTCAAAACCTCCATTTTTATATTTTAATCATCGCAATAAATATATTAATAAACTTCAAGAAATAAATTTGGCTTTCTTTGCATTTCTAATGGCATCAGTCTCTATTCGTGTTTGACCTCGACACAAGATGGAATTGGCATTTAGCGTCATGAACCGGCTACTTCTTAAACCATTAACATATTAAATTGGAGGTTAGGTAGGCCCCAGAGGTGGTATGGATGCAGGGATCAAACCCCATTAATCTGTAGTCAGTAGCCAGATATGCTGAGTTCCTACAATACAGGTTATAGTGACGTGTAACTTACTTACCAGTTATCTAGCTGAAGAGCTACGCTTAAACCGAAATAACTTCCTTCCTGTCCACTCGGATCCTTGAAAACTACTGCATGTTTTGGAGATAGATTAAATCCACGCACTACAAGCAGTGAATTCAAAGCAAAGCAGCAAAACCACTTTCGAAACAAACACATCTCGATCGTTGCACCTTCAATAAGTTCACCTTACTTCAAATTATATTATCCATACAATTCGTATTTCAGAAATTGTATCACTAAACACTGCATCACCGAAGAACGATTTATATAAACAGGAAGTCACAGGTACTGCTTCTATACGCCACGCGATTGATCGATAACGAAGAACTTCAGCGCGCCCTATGTTTAGAAGTCGTACAAAAGTTTCTGCAACACGGCGTTAAGTACGATGTTCTTTCTGAGTTTGTGGAATAAGTATTACTTCCGGTGCTCAAATAATAAACTATTACCGAGTTGAACACACAATTTTACAGACACATCCTATCTGCTACAGTCAAGACAAGTATTTATTTAATTATTATATAAAATTAAACATAATAATTAAAAAAATCAAATATTTGTTAACATCAGATTATTACCAACAATTGGGTATAATTTAGATAATAGTTAAAATATGATAATGAACTTAAAATTAAATTTAATTAATTTATTCTTCAAGGTTTAAAAAAAAAATCATACTTACGAAACTTTTTTAAACTTGGAAGAACAAATTAGTAACAATGGTAGTAGCAATTATGTTTGGTTTTACAACAATTACCATGGTGGAATCTAACCTCATTCCTAACAAATAAATCTGTACGGACTTCATTTGTTGACAGAGTCTGCCACCAACAGTAAAAACCCACGTCTGTTTATGGAATTTTCTATGTAGCTCAATTCTTACGCAAGTTGAGGTTAGTGTCATTTATTGGAAATAATTTTCGTTGAAAAAATATTTATTTAAAACACTGTCCCTGGAAATGGACAGATTTGTTACAAGCAAACTTGACTGGAAAATTACTTTAAGGAACTTCTTTTGTTCTCTGTTCTAACTCACAGAGTTCGCAAAAGAAAAATATATATCAAGACCTCAAGGGGTACGAGAACTGATACATTTAACTGTACTTCAGTGTTATCTCATCAATAAACTAACATTATTTGATAGGTGCTCACCTAGGCAACAGGAACCGAACTTCAAATACTTCCCCTTCACAAATGAATACCGAGATATAGCACAGCGAATAACACGCAACTGGTGGGAATGACAGAAAACAACTCGGCGTGTCAATGTCACACGAGACGAGTTCCCATCTATTTGTACAACTGACTACAGAAAATAAATATCTTGAATAGAAACATTTTATTATTTCAATTAACTAAACACGAACTTTGCTTATACGACAAATGTATCCCCGATTATTGTATAAATCATAAAACTGATCTTGCGCAGTGCGGGATGCGCAGAAACTAAAGAGAATAAACAATTGAAAGGTTGGGGGGAGGATCCTTTGACTAATGGCAGCTCAATTGCAGTTTACAGTTCCTTTTGTCTACACAACGATTACTAAAATCAACACGGGATGGCCACACACACCGGAAGGCATGTATTCCAAGATAAAGTCGAAAGGTGAGTCACAGACCTCTGAGGACACGAAACCTACAGATTTTATCGCAGTTATGTGCTAAGTCTTTTATTCTATAGTTGATGCTACAACATGGAAGATTTTAATCGGCGTTACTGTTATTTAATGACAAGAAAGATTAAACTTTGTTAAGTTGGTACTCCTACACACACGCGTTATGACTCGTGAACTTCAGTGCATGACTCAAGACAAAAAATAAAGCTACTTCAGATCTATCGGAGAATCGACTCCCACCCAAATCAAGGCCAAGTTCGTCTCCCACGCTCCAGTTTGCAGACGTAAACAATTTGGTATCTCAAACAAATATTTGCTTTTCAAACCAAAGTATAGAATAAAACATTTTTTCTCATTTAAATTACTCTGTATAAAATAAAAATTCAGGTGTTAATTAAAATTATAGCTAAATCTCTTAATATTTCACTGTATGAAGTTTACGCTGTTCGTTATGTGAATTGCATGCCAGATAAATGATGTAATTCTTATCAGAACAGAATAGCAACATTAATGTGAATGATTTAGATAAACTGATATGAATGTAAGAAATATAATATGCAGTAGACTCGTGATTATCGGGAAGGAGGCGTATTAACCGCGGTATATCTGTTTTTTAAATAAAAATTACAAAATGATTTTAGATAAACTGTTCTAAAAGTTATTACGTTTAAAGGGAAAGGAATAAATATACGAGGCGCGTCCTCAAAGTAAGTTTCCCACTCGTCCCACAGCTAGCAAACCTTATATTGCGCGAAGCGACTGTGCGTACGTGATAGAGCAATGACGTAGCATGGCGCATGCACTAACGGCACTTCCCGCGTTCTCACAGTAGCATCGTTGCAGCTGTTGAAGATGGAGGTTCTTATTCCAGCTCCCGCCGCCTGTGAAGTGCGGTCAGTGATAACGCTAGGCCGCACACGGTTCGACGGACAGCAAGTCTCCTGCAGGAGTTCAGCTGGGAGGTGTTTAATCATTCACCCTACAGCCCGGATCTCGCTCCCAGTGATTTCCATCTTTTCCTACACCTCAAGAAATTCCTGTCCGGTCAGTGTCAGCGTTTTGAGAATGACAGAGAGGCGGAGATGGTTGTCACACAGTGGTTCCAATCCCAGGCGGGCGACTTCTACGACACAGGTATTCAAAAGTTGGTCCCACGGTATGACAAATGTCTCACTTCCGGTGGCGAATATGTTGAAAAATAGCTGGACACTTGCTGTATCTGTTGCAATAAATATTTCCATGAAATTGTGTTTTGTTTCTGTAAACGGCCCCAGGGAAACTTACTTTGAGGACGCGCCTCGTAAGAATGACAATTAATTTAAAGTAATAACATACTTCGACTGTTACAAAAACCTGAAATTGAACTATAATCAGTTTGAGGTATTAGTACCTTAAGAATTTATTATAGTTTATTTCATCGATCGCCATAATATTTTAACCTCAAGTTTATGTAACTTTCTATTGTAACCTACTCAATAGAAAATTACGTAGCGATGGGGTAAGACTACTTATCTTTGGTAACTTGGCTTAGAAGATTTATAAGATCGATAAATCACGTTCCCGTTGTTTAGTTTATGGAAGTATAAAAGTCCTGCCTAAGTTCAAAATTTATCCATAATTTCGAAAGTAATTCTCAAATCAAACATGGCACAAGGCCTAATCCGTATGAGTTGATGATGATTTAACTCAGTTCACTGTCACAATTACGGGAAATGGAAATCATCATTTCTAATTATTCTTCAAATTCAGCTACGCAACTTAAAAAATACTAGCAATAAATCGTATGATTGCAAGTCAAAATTAGACGTGGTTAAAGATCAAATTTAACGTCATAATCATTTAAATTTTATAAATAAATTCAACTGAATATATTTATATTTCGACGCCATGTTTTTTTTATAAGCAATTACTTTAGTTCGAACAGAACTTTATAGCTAAAGTAATTGTCGAGTGGTTAGCATTTCTGATTCATATTCGTGAAGTACTGATTTGAAATCTGGGTATGGAGACTGATTATCCTGAATAAGGTATTTCGAGGTTTTCCCCACTCCCTCCAATTACAGTAATAGTACCTTGAATTAGGTCATGACCTCTTCCTTTCAGATCCTTTTTAATTCACTGTTATTTAATTATGCTCTCATTGAACTCTATATACAACTTTACATAAAATCATAAATATTTTTCAAACTCTTATAAAATACTTACGAACAAATTTACATAAACCGAATTTTTTTAGCTTACCTCGATAAACAAATGAAATAATTTGCGTAAATGCATTTTTAAGTTACTTCAAAACATTCGCTACAGCATTAGTTACTTAAAAATGTATTATAAAAATTACAGACATCATATGTAATTAAGTTAATTCTTCGTCGTCAATGTGGAAATGCCTTACTTTCACCCACCACGTGTCAGAAAAAATAACTAACCAGTACCCGTACTATACAGTCTCTCTCTCTCGTTCTCTGGTGAAACGGGTTCCGATTTCGAGTCAGCTGGCCTCTCGAGCTATGTTGTCTGGGTCGATGACTCTCTCGTCCTACGTCACACAGCCAAGCTCAGCTGTTCCACGACTATCATAAGTTAGGTTATGTTAGGTTAGCATATCCGTTACGCTTTTTACAGGAACCGGAAGGAACTTTCTGTAGGGGAGTAGAATAAGCTTACCAGAGGCCTATTTCTTATAAATATAAATACTTTGTAATATAAATTTATCTTACATATACATTCCGGTTTAAGAATATCAAACACTGTTACTCCGATGAAAATTATGTCTGTTTTATTCCGAAACATTAAATTACGTTTCAAAATTATTTTCAGGGTACACCACAGTGTGGTAAAAAATATCTGTAGTAAAGGAAAATTAGTGTTTAAGCATGGAAGTTAATAATCCTGTAATTAAAAATTAGTTATTACAGTAATCGTAAAAGCACCAATCTTAATACTTTTTACATATAAAAATATTCAAAATATCATACTTTAAAAAGTGTAACCTACTTTAATCAAGACAGATGTTAACAGATAATTTTCAGCGACTTCATAAATTGTCACCGGAAATAACTTCAGCCTGAAAGTTGCTTCCTTCATCCACACCAGCAGGCACCTCAGCCTGAAAATAAAATATCGTAACTTTTTTTATTTTCAACAATCCACGCATTAATTCCCAGTTAAATATAAATACATGTCTTAATTATGAAACTGTTGAAGATTAATGAATATCTAGAAAATAAAATAATATTAATATCAAATTAAAGTGAAGTTATAATGATTTTGGTATCTTCCTGATCGCCCTGATGATGGAGGCAGCAACGACATCTGAAACTTTTGTAAACTTATACCAGATTACTCGGCGCTACAACACAAAAGACTCGTACTCACATCGATGTGAACTTCAAATCCGACCTAAAACTTACGTATATTTATATTAAATTATATATTTTCCCTCATTACGTCCGTGCTCTAGAAAATTATTTATAATAATAAGCTTACATTCATTTCTATTAATGAAAGTCTAATTAAATATTACTATACAACATAGACTTATATATAATATAAGAATAATATTATATTTTATTTTGTTACACAATAATTATGATCCAATACTTACATTGAAATATATGTAATAAGAAATTCTCATATTTTAACTTTAAACATTCACTGATTTCTACTGAAGAAACTATAAAACTTAAGCTCTAAAGATGGAGACAGTGTGTTCCTCCAAATCGTTGGTGCTATCTACAAGACTTATTTGCTGTTGTTAAAAAACTTCAGATCTCACGTGATAAATTGGTCATTAAAGTTTTCCGTTCTGCGCAAATAAATTCCCATTAACAAAAGTGCATGTCCTGGGTGAATTTTAATATACATTTAGAATATATGTCAGATAAAAGCCACATTTGTATTCTGAATTGTTACGAGATCAAAGAAGAAGTTAGTTTTCGAATACGTTATCAACCACCTAAAAGGGTAACAATTTTTTGATTATGTGAAATATTTCTTTCATAGTATGGAGAGGATTATAATAAAACATTAGATACTAACGTTTTTTAGAGCTTGAAGTTCTTCTTTCTTTCCACGTTCGAAAAAACCAATCTGAAAAAAATAGCACACACGTAAATTTAAATTTCAAGTCCGTGTCTATAAATTAATACAAAGTTCTGTAATTCCTACAAAAAGAGACATTGATTTTTTAAAAGATGTCGTTTTCTAGTAACAGTAAAATCCGTCATATGACGCCTTAACATTTGGGTCAGAAATACTTAAGTCTGTATCGGAAAAAAATAATTTGTCAATGGCGTCGATTTTAAAATAAGATCTGCATTAAAAATGACGTAAATATGCCTGTTCAAAAAACACAAAATAATTTTAAAAATAAGGAGTTAGTAAGACGTACGAGTTTTATCGATAATAAAGCAACAAAACAAATACACGAATTTAAATATTTATGAAATCAAATAATAGCAGATGGTGAGAGAGAATAGAACATTAAAGGCAAACACGTGGATAAATATAATAATTTAGAGGTAAGAGAGGGAATTGTAAGAGATTTGTGAGGCCCAGTACAGGGTAAAACTAACGGATACTTAAATACAAGACAAAGAATTACTGTCTTAAAATTTTATATTTATTATTATTTAGTGTTCTGTCTGACGACAGGTCCATATGAACAGGATCCTTCATCCTTTTCTCGGACTGGGACCTGTTCATATACGTTCAATTAACTTTAAATTAAATTAAGTTTTCAACATCGTATACAGTAGAAGTTAAATGATTCGTAAATATTTATATGTACCTTATATAGGGCCATAGCAATGAGGAAAAGTATCAGAATTCCACAGATGATGGCCAGCACAATGATCCAACTAGCCGCACTGACTTCTGGGATCTTCCCTATAAATCTAGTGTGCACATTCACGAAGTCTGGTCTGTTGATGAAGGGGGAAATATCATTAATATTTTCGAGAATAAAGTTAAAACAATAACTTGATATTCTTACAATAAGTTCTGAGGTTTTCACGGCGATGTCTGAAGATGGCTGTCCTCTGGGTTGTTGCGCTGTGTAGTCTGGTAGAAATTCCCAAAAATATGTAAACACATGAGTAACTCCAATGGCCGCTGTCAACTGCGCCACGAAACTGACGGTGGCAATTTTGAGTACCTGCACTTTATTCGCTAATTCACTAAGAGCCAATACTGACGTATGTAATGGTTCAGTTTATTAAATATCTTTATTCCTTTTACTGAATGGGTTTGAGGAAATTCTTTATGTCAGTGACCAGAGTGATACATTTTGTCACAGAGACTATTAATAGATAAATAAATAAATGTAACAGAATTAAAATATATCCATCTTGCTAATTTCGACTTGGGAAACATTGTTATTCGATTTTTAATTCTAAAAAAATATATAAACTACTTCTTCCAATTTTCGTAAGTTGGTTTTTGTGACATATGCCAATTTTGTTCCCATGTATTAAATAATCTTTGGTCGTGAATACACAAGTTCTGTCATAAAAAATATTTAAAAAGTATTCTCCTTATTGAAAAGCTGATAGTAATTCACCAGTTCATTTTCCGATGGACTTCCGTGTTCAAACAGCCCCTCGCTGGATCATAATTTAAAAAAACTGATTCCACCAAGGGCCTCGTTATGTAAAAATAATAATTAACTTACTTATGTCCCTCAGGCTGTACAACGCCCTTTGGGTCTCTGATAGAAACTTTTCCGAACGACGAAAACAGAATTATATCTTTCATATTTAGCTGCGAATCTGAAAGAAAATTTCACGACCATCATTACAAATGTGTGCGTGTAGACGGCAAGACTCGTGATTAAAGGAATTTTCTAAACATCATCCATTGTCGAAGATTCAATAAAATCATTAAAAACCACGACTTTTCGGAGATAGACTCCCATCTCCGAAACGTCGTGGTTTTATTCATTTAATTTGATTTAATCTTCGACGATGAATAATATCCAGAGAACAGTTTGCTTCAACAACGCACCATCGTCACAAAATTTCAGACTTAAGTCTTGTGATGTTGTAAAAGTATGCAAGTGATAACTTACCGACCATCGAGAAGTGAGGTTAAGGTACCTTGAAAATGTATCGCCTCTTTTACGTCTGTAACGTCGTGGTGTTTAATTAAACATCATCGTAGATTTAAATTTACGTATACTTTGATTATAATCATCTTGAGGGGCATTAACAAATTCGTAAAAGACAGCCGATCGTATTGACCAGAGTGGAGTGAGGTTATGGACTGGGCTAAACTATATCAATACAAGAGTCTCGATGTTAATAGTCTTGAGGTCTTTTGGGGTTTTGATGTTACGAAGTCTTTAGACATTTCGATAGGAAAATTTCACAATAAATATTGTCATATTAAGACTTCGTTAGACATTGTAGACGTTAAGCGATAAGACTTACGTAGAACTTCAAGGTCCGCTCTGAGTTGGAAATTAATTACTGTTTGAGTCTTGTTGGGTAAAAAGGGTCCTCCAGAACATTTTACCACGAAGCAATCGACTTTAGGATCAGTACAGTTGAGGAATAAAGTTCTGTTCGAAGGCGGCATGCTGAAATTGGAAGTTGACAGCGCAGATTCTGGTACAGAAGACGTAGACATGGGCTCTTCGAAATCCTCTAGTAATTGAGATCTATAAATGGATCTTTTCGAAACCGACGGCGGTCTTCTCTTATTCAATTCAAAAATTCCTTCTTCGAGTTCACCATCTGGTAACTCTGGGTCGATTATCGGAATTTCGTGGGAAGCATTCCAATACCTAAACCCCTTCACCGGAGAACAGTTCACGTCGGCGGATGTCTGCAGCTAAAAAAATCAGACAAGAATGTTTTCTTTTTCAAATATAGAAGACCTTAATAGATTTCTGAACTTACAAACAACAGAATAGTCGCGAACTCTATCCGGTCGATTGGTTAGCATTCCTAATTCATATTTGGAAGGTCCTTTGTCAAATCTCCACACGGAGACCTTCTATAGGCGTACTGAACTAGGTTCTGTGATTTTCCTCAGGCCTTAAATTAGACCACTATTTCTTCCTTCCATATATATTCCAATTTATTTATTATTATCAACATTAAAAATATATTAAAATTAGCCGTCAATCACAATATAATATTATTAAAAGATTAAAATATCATTTTACGTTCCCTATCGAGTACTCGATTTACATGTGGAACATACACGACATGTTTCGGCTATATATAGCCATCATCAGGTGTTATGTATTAAAACTTTTCACTGAATTACTGATTTTTTATTGATTTTTATTTTTAATGATTTTTAGTCTTCATTTTTCTTATGATGTTCTTGTCCTTTATATTGTTTCTTCATTCGTTGTAGTATCACAGGTCACTAATATGTTTGTATTTCGTATTTCGTATTGATGTCAATGTTTTGTATATGGACCAAGAAGTAATATACTATCAGGTTTATGAGAGATCGGAGATGTACTGTACTGTATTGGATCGTGGCTGGTTACCGACTATATATTTTAATATATTTTTAATACTATATAAATCACAATATGACGCATTTACAATATCTTATTATCAACATGTTTTTCGACACTTTTCAGCCATTACAGTCGTTAAAATAAACAGGGAATATATAAAATTAATAGTACAGGTAATTCTTTGAAAAATTCTATGGACAATATTAAAATTAAATTACAGCCAACCTACTATCCAATGCGTAAAAATCCTCTATCTTTTCAAATAAAGCTGCCGGAGTTACTAGTTAAACTAGGATACTTACGTACTTAGTTAAGTCCTTCAGTACGTAATTTTATTTCACAATTTGTCGTTTAAAATCGAAGGCATTAAACATGATGAGTAATTGTCCTTGTCGAGATAAGATACGTTTGTGTCCATTCGGAAGATATTTGCTATTACGCCATTTTGTAAGTTGTAAACTGTTTTTGGAGACGATATACAGGGTGTTTATTGAAGGTTTTGCTTCTTTTGGTAAATGGAATAGGTTTTAACGCCTTGAAACAAAGTAGATGTCTTCGCATTGACTATAAGTGAAAGAATAATATATAAAAAGATCCAATTGATATAATTTTATATTGTTACGTGTCACAGAAAGGAAATGTCTTTAAATTTAATAAACATTACTCACCTGATGCTCTAAAACTCTCATGAATATTTCTTGTACAGGCGGAAAGACATATTGATGTGGAATTTGGAATTCAATATCTGCTGTCTCTACTGTACTCGGTCCTAGGTTCCGTACCTGAACGCACAAGGACAGTCAATTATTATTTAGTATTTGTGGAAAATATGTAAAGAAACAAGAGTTGAGATGTAACTTAATGTCAGTTTAGCCGTTGTCTAAAGACACTTTCGATAAACGAATATGGTGTGAAAATAAATTTGATATATAATTCACAATGTTATAATTTAATGCAGGGGAAGGGTATAATAACATTCACAACACCTCAATAAAGTAACAAAGAGCCAGAGAAAAGAAAAGAACAAATTTTCACACTTTACCTACTACGTTGTAAGGATAATTAAATAATGTAAGAGACGGGCTTAACATGTAGCACGCGTGTGGAGATAAGAAATGCGTACAAAATTTTGTTTTGTAAACATTATGTAAGCGACGAATTTGGAGCCTAAATGTAGATTTGATGATAATATTAAAAACAAATTAATTATTTAAAAACCAGTATGGCTACTGTTATATTGTATTCATATGCAATATATAAATTAATACTTTCATGGTACATACATATCGCTAAATACCTCGTCGCAAGACAAAGTGAGATGTGTTTACACAAAATTTTTAATAATAGACCCTAAGTGTCTGTTTGTGGCATTAGATGACTTATTTTCTCCAATTTGATTTTAGGTTCATTTTAATATACGTAACATTTCGGGATACTCCTGTGTTGACACACTTCCAAAACGTCGTTTATGATTCTTATCAATTATAAATCAGACAATGGGCAATGTCATAAATAATACTGTTTTATCCACCTGTTTCTCCTTAAAACTTATATGTACTGTTTTTCAAGTCAAATAAAAAATTCACGAAGTAAATTTATGAAAAACTAGTAATAAATATATTTTTCTTAAAACTGGATGTTAGGAACTCATCACGCCATAAAATCCAATATAAATTGCGTAATAAAACCACACACATTGAATAATTTTTTTCTAAAACCCTATAAATGTTGAAACTAAAAACACACGTGATGATTTGAATCTCAAATGGTAATATAATTGTAGCTAATTTTTCATTTCAATTACATTAGCGTCTACAATTTTATTTTCCTAAATCATCGGTTCCATTACTCTTTCAATCCGAGACTCTGTTGATATGAATAAAGTCATTTTAATTCCTACAATATATACAAACTAATGAAAATTTAATTTAACAATTTCAAAAAAATAATTTCTGATGATTACTTATATCTATAACGTACACTTCTATTAAGTTGTATGTCTGTAATTATACGATGCCTGTAATTAGCAATTTATAGAGTGTTTAAAATCTTTTCAAAATCATACTATATGTTCAGCGGTTAAAACCATGAGAATTATTGGTCTGCATATGACTTCAGGGTAAGTTATTAATTAATTATTAATAATTTGTAAAATTATCAATAAACACATTTGCCCATAAATCATTAATACCTCACATATGGACTTCCATTCACCGTTTCAACCCCCTGTAACGTTGTAAAACACCCTGTATTTATTGTAAGTAGATTGTTAGCAGCTTTGCCCCTAGATGGAAGATTTAGTGATGCCTTGGGGGGACCTCCCATTCTGGGAAAAGCTGATTAAAATTACCTGGAATGTGTGATTGAACATTAGGTCCTTTATATACTTCGCATCTTTGTTCATGTACATTATTTGGTCTTGACTGGATATCCTGGAACGAATAATATTCTAATATTACGACCAGAAAGTAAAACTATTAATGGACTCGATTAATCCAAGGCGTAAGACAAACAATATTTATATATTACCACCATTTATTTCATAAATTGATATTTTTCGTTAGTTCGCAAAGGCATGCTATTTAAAATATATATTAAATTATATTTCACACAACGTTTGCAAAGTGGAGGCGTATTTTATAAAAAAAAATATAAAACGCTAGAAAAGAACGAATTGTGTAAACATTTTATTCATGAAATAGAATGCGAAAATGTCGGATTATAAATATCACATATTTGGGGGAAATTTTCGAGACGGCTAGTAGATAATGATTAATGTATTTATCTTATATAATTAAACATTGTACGTTATATATTATCATAGCTAACTTGGTAGACGAAAAAATATACATTGAAGAAACAAACAGAAATGTTTTTCTATTAAGAATTTCATTAACCGAACATTTATAATTAATGTGTTATTTCACTTAGTTAATATGGATAATTGTAACAATAAACAGTTTTATTCTAATTACGGGCATTATTTTGCATCCATTTCATATATGAACGAAACAAACGTATATGGGGTAGTCGTGTCTGTTCGCCATATTTAAACTCAAGAACTGCTGAAAGTATTTTTAATAATTACTTACAAACGTTGTGCCATTTCATGTAACCCAAAGCTCGTACTTTTAATTTTATACAATTTGTATTATCAACATACCGAACGCAAGAACTTACAAAGGCAGGAGTGACATTAGCGCCACTTAATATGGGGTGTTGAAATAGTGAATGATAACATATTTAATAATATACATAACTTTTGTTACGACAATCTTTTGAGCATCTCTACAAACAACTACGCTTTCCAGTCTTACAGATGCATATTACTTAAAAAATATATTTTAAATAAATATAAAATAAGAAACTAATATTCATTAAGAAATATTAACCTACATAACTTTTATTTTATAAACACACCATTTACGATATATTCTGTTTGGTACGTTAGGAAAATATTTTAGACGCTTATTTGTTGAGTCGCTGACATAATCGTAAATTAATAAAAATATAAATTTCACAGTTCTATCAAAACAAAATATTAAACAGCAAAATATATGATATAACAAAAGACTTTCGAAAGATATTATAAGCGACTGCCCCCTTGTCTTAATTAAATTTTTCTTGTTACGTATTGTCTCTTGTTTTGATTTCATAATCCCTGTTTACGAGCAGAACATTTCCAGATCAGAGTCAATAATCTTGGGCTCTTTAGATAACCGACACATTAATACGCAGTATCTGTGAGAATCTGTCCTCCTTACTGATAGACGGTAATTTTAACACGAGTTTTGGTCGAGATAACTCAATTATATGAGGTATTATATAACAAGATTGATTATACAAGATTACATATATGAGAACTAACGTAGAGTTAATGTTTCTATCTTATAAACTTAGATACGTATTAAAAGAGTTATTTATGTAATAATTATAAATACTGATGTAAATTTGAGAATAGCTCGGTTAACATCTAAGGTGGAATATATTTGTAAAGGGTAATTTCTTTGTTAAAATTAAATTATTTGGTTATTCCGTCAAATCACAATGTATTTAAAATAAGATAATTAAAATAATTAAAATAACATTCTGTGTTCCATATCGAATAATCGATTTACTATCTTATGAATTTATTTGTTATAAATAACCAGCCAGCGTGTTTGTCAGTCACAGACAATCTGACATCACAGTATAAGACTTAAGGATTTTATTTATTCGTCGTATTAAATAGTAAATTATTGGGTTCGACCAAAATTCTTAATAAACAAAGACGTTTATTAAGAATTTTGGTCGAACCCAATAATTTCTTCCTCATTTTACGACAAACAAGTTGTTTTAAGAAAAAGTAACAACCACAAACTAAACTTAATCCCAACGACTTTTGACATAAAATTTGAATTCACTCGCTAACACACTAGTGTTGCCAACTGTTGCACACAAAAAAATCCGGTTGGGTAATCATAAGACGTAAATTTTTTATAATAAATTAATCAATTTTTGAAATTACAATTCTCACCCTACTATTTCCATGTCTGCCTGAATCGCGAGTTGTAAAACCAATTCCTTATAATTATCGTAGGGGTTGACATCCTTGCCAACACTTGTCGCGTTCACTTTGAATGTGAGATCCTTCGTTCCAGCAGAAATATCCTTCGTGTTCATCAACAGGTTAATCGTGAACTGCAATACGAAATATCACACATAATAAATACGTAACGTAAAAAATTTCTTCATTGCAAGGTTGGTAATTACTTTTGATTTGGTAGATAAATTGGTATATTATTTATGTTATCACGGGCCAGAGAACTGCGAGGTAAATTTTGTTATTTAAAATGTCTAAATAGTGATCACTTAACGACATAAAATATCAAGACTTATAAGAATGGTTTGATTAATAATTTTGGCTCAATAACAAAGAATTATTGGTGTGCTCCACGTGTTATCGAGACCTAAAATTGCTGTAAACCAACAGCGAAGTATCACGTTCTACGTCATCAGGACATCTCACCGCTGTGTTAGTAACTTTGAATACGCTAGTAAAAATTGTCCATTTCGTGTGAAATAATGGCTACAGAATAGCGGTGCTAAGTACTCGAGTGAA